TGTTTGTTGATTTTGAAAGCCTGCAATTTACTCATTGCTTGTTACCCAACCATTTTCAATCAAAAAGTATATTTTTGTTTCCCTCTGCTCTAAAATACCCAAATATATGTCAGTCAGATTCGTTAGTGTCTTCCAAATCGCTCTCAGCTAAAAACCTGATATAAAAAAATGACAATTTACGTACGTAATAAGAGTAGAGAGGAGAAAAAAAATCAAATTGAAATGAAGTAAAAAAAAGATTATCTCAAAAACATCTTTTAATAATGACTAATTCGTCTTTTTAAAAATTGGGACTGTTTTAAAATAACAAAAAATTAGCTCTGGTGGCAATTTTTGAGTGGTATTTTTTTGAAAATATTTTTTGAACTGGTTGCGTGGGAAACGAAACTGACGTGGTAGAAATGACACTATGCACACACTAGATCGCCGTATATTGCACAATTTAGAGAAAAGTGTAGAAATTAAGTGTATTATGCAACAAGCGCGGCAAACGACATTTGAGTCACCAGTTTATTAATAATAATATTATTAATAAACGAGGGAGACAAAGAATTTACCAAATGTGTTCCATATTATATTTTTTCTACGACCGTCACGAAAAAATCACAATTTAACAAATTAAAGATAATAACAAATTACTAAATTTCGTACCATACAAATAAAATATTTACTAGTTGCTATTAAACCTGTTCACTTATCGTTTCGGTTGGTTCTGCTATTGTTGTCTCTTTTTAACTGTGTACGTTAGACAGAGAGAGATGTATTATTGGATATGCCTTATAAACAACGGAATAAATTGAATTTTATAACGTTCTGCTGTTTATTGAACTTTTACAATTCATTATTAAATAGTTTATTTAAAGAAAAAGACAAATCACCCAAGGATAGAGCTTTTAAGAGGATTACATATTTTTAAGTTCCTATAAGCTAGAAAAAGCAGGGCCTAACCTTCAATTTTGTTTTGTTTGTACCGATAAGACATGGATATTTGAAAATCGAGAATTAGTCTTGGCAAGATATTAATGTAAAAACTGTAAAAACCACTAGAGTTCATGGGAACGGTATGTAAAATTTCGGTAGGAAACTTAAATTATAAAGGTCACTTTACTTACCGACTAGTCAACTAGATTTTAATTGTAGCTTATAGCACGTAGCATTTAAATTTTCGTAACATTTTTCTGTGTGTTAATTTTGGGAACAGCGTAGGAAATATCTCCGAAAACATCCGATTGCTCCCAAATCCGTGCGGTAAAATCCCGGAAATGTCCGAAGTGGCTCGGATCCGTGGGAAACGAAAGTGACGTGGTAAAGTGTCGCTTCCCGAATGCTAGATCGGTGGGTAATTAGGTATATTACAGACGGGAGTGGAAAAATATTTTTACTCACGCTTTAGCCTTTGGATAAATAGGTTAAAAACTCTTTAAAGATTGTAAGTTATTTTTTGCTTACCTGCATTAGCTGGTACGCAGTGTTTATGCAATACGAAGTGAAAACAGTCTAAAGCAAATGATACACTTTGTTTCAACTAATGTCTAGTTTTATATACAGCTCGAATTTCCATGTTTGGAAGATTGCTTTCCGTGATCATTGTTATTTCAGCATGGTCTAATTAAGCGAGTCGTGTAAATTTAGTCCGACGGTTTGTTGGAAATCGTGAAGTTTCTCGGGTTAGAATGACATAGGAAATTTACTCGAGTTTTGTTGTTGACTATGATGGCGAAAATTACATTGAACGAGTGAGGGGTCTTTTGTTTGCTATATATCCTATATTTTTTGATCAATTGACATTGTTGAACAATCAAGGTTTAGTAGTTTTGCAAATATAAATGTTATATTAAAGGTCTACTCTAGTATTGATGTCATAGGTAAGATAAATAAATCATGATATCGTATCGAAATCAAAAAAGAATACAGAATACAATGGAAACAGCAATGCTCAGAAAGCTGAACAGCTTACAAAATCATTATTAATATTTAAGCTTATTGTTTATAATATTAAAAAATTTTCTATTCAATTAAATGTTGTGTGTGTGTCTTAGAAGCAATTGATATTCAGCCATATGTTTTTAGTATCGCTTTTTAAACAAGAGAGCATAGTTAATGAAATTAAATTTTTGTGATGTAAGGGGCAGACAGTAATAAGTTTCAAATTACTTCAATTTAAGATATTTAATAATCGACTCTATTTCCTAAGAAATATCGTGCATGCCAACAAAAATTAAGGCGAGCGTAAATACCGTTTCCTTAGGCACAAAGTTGTCAAGAGTAAGAGAAAATTAAAATTTTAATTTTAAATTTTATTTTGGTCTAAGAGCAATTATATTATAGCCATTTGTTGTATGGCGTTCAATCATGAAGCAACAAAAAAAAGCAATATCAAGTGAATAATTAAATTAATTAAATAAATTATTATTAAATTAAAATATTTCACTGATTCAAATTTTGTTTAGTAGTAGTTTTAAAGTCTCTAAATCGATGCATTCTACAACATTGCGCAAATAAACTTAATCAAAGTCTTTTTCAACACTATATAATATCGTTTGATCAATTTTCTCACTTTCTATACAGGGTGGTGCGTATAGAATGGGTCACAGAATAACAGCAAATTTTAAATATTGCTCTTTTTAAAAATATGGAGCGCAATAGTCTAATTTTCACTGTCAATATTTATTCCATAATTTGATCAGTTTTGAAAAAAATAAAAAAAAAATGAATCAAGGGGAAACTTCTAGAAATGGTGTCTTAAAATCTTGTAAATTTATTATTTTTAATAAAAAAAAATATGTTTATATCGATAAATCGCCTAGTTTTCGGTAAAATCAAAGTTTAACAAGATTTCAACAACAAATGTCAAGTTACAGAAGTGTTTTTTCCGTTTTGACGATTTCAAAAATTTTGAAATGTGGCATAATTTGCAAGGCGAAGGCAGCCAAAACATAGTTTTTTGCACGACTTTACATCAAATTGGCAACACGGATAAACAAAACAATTCTGAAAATCCTTCATAATGCCCTGTCGTGAATTTCATGCCTCATGACCCATCAGCAGGGCATAACTTGTGTAATTTGTTATTAGAAAAACGAGTGAATAATGTTGCATTTCCAAGCAAGATATTGTTTACGGGCGAAGCCATTTTTATTAGGTGTAGTTTTTCAATTGAAAAACCCAACTAGCTATTAGATTACACTATGGCATCGCAGTGAAGTTAACGATTTCCAGCGCATGGCTTTACATTTCACCATCTAACCTTCTTTCCAATGAACTATTTCCACAAACTTTTTTACAGAACATTTAACAAAGTCTAGGTATATTTTGAGAAAACACTGCCCTAAAGATGCCACATCCAAAGTTAATGACAATCTGCCAGCTGCAATGTAGGTTGTTGAATACTGCAAAGTTATTGCCTAAACATTTTTCTTATAGATATCTTTAGTAGCAATATGGGAGAAACCATTACACTTGGGAACAGGAGAACGTTTATTTGGTGAGAGAAAAACAGTTTCACCATGAATTGTCAATAAATATCTGGTGTGGCATAATTGGAGATTTTTTTTATTTTTGCCATGTTTAAGATTTTTGAAAAACATTTTGCTAATTTAATTAGGTAAAATATGTGGTATACGCAGAATGGATAGGTGGTGCTGGCGCATTTGCTTAGACACCGCGCAGCTTCCAACTCAACCCCTTGGATTTCTAGCAATACCTAGTTTATAAGGAAGAATCCATCAACAAAAATCTTCTACGCATTCGGAACCTTCTTCAAAGTAAGACAACATTTAAATAAGGAAATGAGGAAATGTATTGCTCAGTTGCTGAAATAGCTCTTATTAATTGCTACTGGGAAAATTGATTTATTATTGTAAATTTGCTGAAAGTTAATATAAAAAAGTTATTTTTTATTGCCAAATGAACGCCTTGAATTATAAAAAAATCAATTAGACATCAGCTATAATAAAATGTCATGAAGCATGCTAAATATTATTAAAGATGATATGGTAGATTTCCATAATCAAACAACAACAAAAAATTAATATCTCAGTATCCGACTATCCCACTTTGTAATATTACACGATGCAGAGCGCAGGGTGAAACATAGCGAGACAGGTAATTAATTTTTTAGATAGCCGGCGTTCAGACGAGAACAAATTGATCCTCCGAAGTATAACGGTAATTGAAGTAATAATCTATTTTCGTTTAAAATTATTTTAGTTCAATAAATAAATTTATCAAGATTAGAGAATATTTCCTATATATATATTTCAGTAGTGTGGGGGAAACGCTTGCGGTGAAGATCAATATACCAAAAAATGTAAGTTTTAAGCAAGAAAAAAAGTAATTTGAGTATATTTTTGTCGTCAATACTAAAAAAAGTATTAAGGTTTAAGTTTTGTCGGCTGCAATGATGCGTCATTGATTGTTGTTGTAAACACTTGGAAAGAAACCGTCGCACATGCTGAAGGATTACTAAATCTGGTAAAAAAATGATAGACCATAGCTTTCTGTAACTTAATTTACACAAAAGCCAATCTTGCAAAGAATAGAAAATCATAATTTTGACTGTAGTGTTTGATAAGAACCTTAAATGTTAAAGTTTGTCAAAGAGTCCCTTTGTGAGAATATATAAAATCTTTAATAGAATCAATTTTATTGTGGTATATTTGATTAGGGTGCTGCATCGCTTCAACCGCTAGCAATTAGCGAGAAGCATGTTTCAAAAATAATGTCATTCAATAACAAACTATATCCTTCTAAAGAATTGTATACTGAAGCGAAAGTATTAAGTATTAACAAAATCTGCAATAAAACAGCTATTAGACTATAAGTCTTAACAAAAATCGTAAAGAAACAATAAGTTAAATTGCATCAGCCTGAACAAATTTCTCAAATTTACTGTGCATTTGATATATTTTTGAAGGTTTTATCTAATTTCTGAAATAAATGCTAGAACTACTCCTACTACTACTAACACCATGACATATTGGTTTAAATTATTTACTTACCCTGCAAGAACGGAATCAATTTGCACATGGACTCCCCAAATACGAAGTCTCTAAGCAAAGCGCCGACCAGGGTAAATGGCATGCAGAAAACGCCCAGCAGCAAATCCGACACTGCCAAATTGAGTAGGAACAAGTTGGTCACCGTCCTCATCCTCCTATTTTGTGCCTGAGGAAGTTAATTATGTTTAGCATTTAATTATCGAGGTCTCAGAACGATGCAACTAATACGTGTAGCCATAGGAGACGAAATATCTGAACATCGAAGCTGAAACCTGCGGTGGAAGATAAATAAACTTCTGACCTAACAACGAACATCTGATATGAAATCCTGGACGTGCGTTCGTTTGGTAAAAGCGCTAAATGACGCTAAATTAGTTTGGGACACGTCTTATTTGTTGTGGCATAATAGGGCAATGTTATGCAAAAAACTTCCAACCCTCAAATCAATAATATTGACATATTCGTAAATGATTTTTTTTCTAAATAAGAAAATCTGCAGCCAACGCATACAAAATTGAATAAAAAAAAACTGTAGCAATAGTACAAGTTTCATCTTATTTTACAATATAACATGTTTTTATAGACAACTAACCAAAAATTTTATGGCTTGGTAGGATTTGCAAAGGTGTAAGATTCAATAATGTTTATATTTCGTATACGAATTTCCTCCATCTTTTCTTATCCAGTGCCATTTTACCTGCTTCCATTATTCTCTTAGTATATTCGCTAAGTTCTGATCCCATGTTAGTTGCGGTCTTCCTCTATTTCTTCGGCTGAATCTTCTCGCTTCCCAGATCAGTTTTGTTGCTTTCTTTTTCTCCATTCTTTTTAGGTGTCCGTATCATCGTAGTTGGCATTTCTCAATATGTTTGAGAACTGGTTATACTTTCAATCTCTCTCTAATCGAGTCATTTCGGATTCTGTCTCTAACTGTGATACCTAGGACCTTTCGTAGGTACTTCAAGTTCATGCCTTGAATCCTATTTTTTGCCTTTTGGGTCAGCACCCAGCTTTCACATCCGAAATCCATATTGTTTTGTATATTGTTATGTTGGTTCAAGTTAACTATCATTGCTATTGGAAGTTTGTGATGAAGTGCAATGAAATGCAAGAGCAATAAGGCCGAAAGCAATCCTACACTTGCCACTGTGGTCCTTCCTTACATTCAAAACATCACTGACCACATATCAAAAGTTCTAAAGAAGTATAACGTCAAACCAGATCCAAAAATCTCTCAACATATTCGGTCCCGCAAAGACAAAATTCCATTCGAGATGCCAGGAGTTTACAGCATTCGATGCATATGCGGCAAAGAATATTTTGGAGAGACCGGACTAAAAATATCAATTAGACTCAAAGAACACGAAAGAGCGGTACGACTTAGACAAATAAACTCATCAGCTGTTGCCGAATACACTCATGAAACCGGAATTTTATTCGGTATAACTAGAATTCTTGCATGTAATCAGTTCTTCTACCAACGAAAAATCCGAGAGTGTATAGAAATCTATAAACAACCTAACAATCTTAACCGCGACTCAGGTCTCTACCTGTCACCAATATGGGAATCAGTCATCCGAGACGGCGTTGATGCCCCTCATTTAGCTCTGCCCCCCTCAAACAATATATAAGCAGGTACAGAGTAAAATACGAGCCAGTTTCAGTCAAGCTCTGAAGAAGCCAACAGGATGATTGGCGAAACGTCAGCAAGTTCGACTCAGCAAAACCCGGCGCAGGAAGAATCCAGAAGTTTTGTAAAAAGTATTACAGTGGCCTGGGGAAGTTTCTTTGAAAAATTATAAAGAGTATCAATTTTTATTCCTTTTTTTTACAGTGGAAATTTCTATAGTCGACATTGGGTATTAATTATTGACCAGATTACTCGTTTATCAATTTTTTCCAAATAGTGTTGGTTGGTAGGCTTTTTGTATAACATGGCCCAATTGTGGTTTTAATTTCAATAATTTAATCTCCCACTTCCGAAAGGTATGCTGAAATTTCCTGGAATTTATGACACTTATTTAATTGTTTTCGTCTTATGTTACGTCAAATCAAATAATAACTTCCGTGCTTAAACTAACGCCAGTACTACATACTAGACTTACCAAAGTTAAAATGACAAGCATGTTCCCTATAACCGACAGCATGAAGATGACCCCATAAAATGGAATTTGGATCTTGCCACTCTCCGACCACCATTTGTATTTGATGGTCGTTTTAGTCGGAGTGATGTTCATCCCGCTGCTTGTAATATTGGGGAATGAGAGTTCAAACCTTTCGCTTTGCGACACGTCCATCTTCGTAAACTATTTAATAGTTTTTGGAACTATTTATCTCATCTCAAGTTCCGGTAATTAATATGCTCGAATTTTTATTTGGTGAGAAATAAAATATTGCACGAAAAATGTTATACTAAAGAGTTTTCAAATTGAAACTGCCAAAATTAAAGGAGGCTGGGAGATCTCCAGCTGACTAATGGAAATATAAAAAAAAATCCTTTTGCCGATTTTTAAAGGAATCGTTTAATCTCTGACTTCAAGTGAAAAGCGAGGCTGGAAAAAATTGGATGGGACGCTTCGTGAAGTAAACAAAGAATTGCAAAATTAAGCAATATTACTTTAGGAATACCACCACAGAAGGAGTGCAAAAAATTTAACTCATTAGAATTTGAAAATTGCTTAACTGCTTTAAAAACATTTTAATAAAATACACCAAGTTTTCGCTGAAGGAATGATCCTTCTTCTGCCATTTCGCAGATAAAAAGTATAATTTAAAAAATTTTGTATCCGACACCGAATCCTATACAACTGTTGGAGAGAAATTTTAATGTGGTTTCTAAAAATTATTAAAATTTGTGTTTGCTACTTGCGGCTGTTTTGAAGCGTGTATTGTTTAATTATCTTTTTTTTTAAGCGGTTGGACGTGCTTTTAATAGTAGTTATTTGATTGGCAATTAAGGTCCATTTCTATTATGCCGTAAACAAGGGAACATAAAGTGCGTTAGTTGTTAGAAATCAATTCGATATACCATACAACCAAAAATCATAAATAATATAACAAATTTTTGAACAATTCTGAGGAATGAGAAGACTAAAATTATTTGGGTTGTACCTACAGCGATGATTAAGACACTTAGTTTAGCTGGTTTATATTTTTCAAAGTAAGAAAAAAAAATTGCGAAAATTACAGAGGAATTAGCGTAATATCATCTATGGGAAGACTATATGGAAAACCCGTAAAGACAAAACTAGAAATAGAAATAAAAGGCAAAATTGGAGAAGAACAAACAGGTTTTACGGCGGGTCGATCTTGTATAGACCACATATATACATTACAACAAGTGATAGAGAAGAAAATGGCTAAAAATAGAGCGGTTCACTTAGCCTTTATGGACCTAAAAAAAGCATACGACAAAATACCAAGGGGGATACTATGGAAGGCAATGAAGACCATCGGATTGCCACAAAAATTAATAGAGACCGTTAGAAAAATGTTTGAAAGAAACCAAATATCTATAAAAATTGAAGATAGACTCTCAAAAAGCTTTAAAACAACAAAAGGGCTGCTACAAGGATGCTCCACATCACCAACATTGTTTAAAATATTTCTAGAGGAGATCTTAAAACCATGGAAGAAAAAATGTGAACAAATGGGAATTCCAATCAGAGGCGACTGTCTTTACACGTTAAATTTCGCGGACGACCAAGTTGTACTCGCACAAGACGAAGAAGACCTAAGTTACATGTTACGAAAACTGAAGGAAGAATATGAAAAAAATGGAAAACGGAATACCTGGCAACAACAGAAGATGGAGAAAACTACCTACAAGTCGATGAAAATCATCAAATAAAGAGAACCAAAAATTTCAAACACTTAGGTTTCATAATATCTCAAAAAGGGACAACAGAGGAAGAAATGAACAGTAGACTAGGCCAGACGCGAAACTGTATCAGACGACTAAATCCACTACTCTGGGATAGACACATCACTCGACACACCAAATCACATATATTTAACACCATAGGGGTAGACCCAGAAGATCTTGAAGGGATGAAGTAGATGAATCTATGGAAAAAAGAGGTATTGGAGATGAATGGCAAGACTGAGATGGATGGAGGCGTAGGTTGAGAGAAGGGAGACAGCGACAGGTGTAAAATACCCAATATATATATATATATATATATATATATATATATATATATATATATATATATATATATATATTTGCTGATTATTACATCTATAAGGTTGTAATAGTTGAGGTTTTGAAAATGGAGTCATAATAGATCCTTCGAATAGCAGTGACGGACTACTCAGTGTAACGTGTGACCTGTTATCTGTGGTCTAGTAGCCAAAAAAATAGGTATATATACCGATCCATTCGTCGAAATTGTTTCTCAATATTGAGAAGTAACGGTTAAACTTATGGAAAAATATGAGTAACAATTTTGGATCGACACTTTCCATGTACAACAAAAATTATGGAAACGTTCTGTTGATACTTTTGTTATTTGACCTCATGGTCGAAAATTCCTCCAGTATTTTCTTAACCCTAACATATGCTTCACTGGTAAATAAGAAACTAATGATAATCTCACATTCTTGGATATTCTCAACATTGGAGAATTCTATTCACAGAAAACCTACTCAGTTCGACTGATGCATTTTTACATCACCATCAAAGAATAATCGGTTATCAACTGTTCTGCTTACAGAGCAGTAAAACTATCTCATCTGGAACCCCTGAACCCAGAATTAGAACCTTCCATGAAATTTCCCGTTGATAAGGAGGAGAATAGCTGTCCGCCGTTTCTAGATATGCTAGTAAATAATGGCTCTATCAGCACCTCTGGATATAGGAAACCCGCAAATACCGGATAGTATCTAAACTTGCCCAAACAACCAAACTAGGAATCATCCAAATGCTCTGCAGAATGGCAATCACCATATGCAGTGACGAAACATCTCTCGCTGTAGAATTAAGTAATATCAAAAACCATTCGGTTCACAATTGTTGCACTCTAAAATGTATTGACAAAACATTGTCAAATTGAAAACGTAAGGTCCCTTCAAAAATACAAGGTTAATCAAGTGTGGAAATACCTACAAACTGGCAAACATTAAGAAAGCACATCAATTTTGGGGTCCTAGCGGAACGACCTTAACCTGGACTCCACTCGACTGAAGTCAGCACATAAGCCCTCTAGCCTTGAAATTAAAATTAGTCTGCATTTCAGAACGGAAAAATATAAATAAACAATAGAAGTTCGACATTTCTAGTATTTCATCCGAGAAAATGTTCATCTCTCTTTTAGCTACTCCTTCCTCAATCAGTATATAGGCAGGTATAGAGTATAATGCAAACCAGTCTCAAATAAGCTTTGAAGAAAACAACAGGAAGATTGGCGAAACGTCAGCAAGTTTGAAAATAGTATAGAAAGAAGAGATTCTCAATAGGTCCCATTCAGACAAAGTTTGCGGATCTATAAGTATTGATTTTTCAAAGAAAATTCCACAAGTTATAATGCTAGTGTTGCGCTTCCTAACATTCAAAACATCACTGATCACATATAAAAAAATTCTTAAGAAATAACACGTTAAATCCGGATTTACCACTTGTCCAAACATCTTCGATCATTGGAGAGACAGGAGAAAAAATATCACCTATGCTCAAAGAGTAAAAAAGAGCCTTAATCGTATTGGATAAAATGAAAATTCTTGCTTGTAACCAATTCTTTTACTAAAGTAAAATCCGAAAATCCATAGAACGCTATATAAGCTATATAAGCAGGTACAGAGTACAATGCGAATCAGTTTCAGTTAAGTTCTAAAGAAGCCAACAGGATGATTGAAGAAACGTCAACAAATTTGTTTATTATAAACCTACGCAGGAGGAATCCTGAACATTTATCCTATAATATGGCGGAAAAATTTCCCAATTGGGGCTTCCTTTTTAATTAATATTTTCATTGAAGCTTTTTGAACTTCACCTATAGGCGAAGTAATTTTTCTCCAACAATCGTTTCAGTAACCTTTTCAATTACCTTTTTAATAATGTATTAATGTATGCCACATTTCGATTTGATCAACAGGTTGATATGCCATTTCTCTTTTGTCTTCTTGTACGGTCGGCCACCATAGTTTATTGTAGCATCTTAAGGACCTCAATGGCTTGCGTAAAATATTATAAACATTCCGTTTTTGAAGATTTGTCTAATTCGGTTATTAAAAAAAATTCCGGTATTGCATTAAGAGTCATTATTGGCGATAATTCCAGTAGCAGAGTTTTGCCAAACTAAATTAAGTTATAATAATTGAATTTATTATGCGGAACTCAAGAGACGAAAGGGCGGAAATATATATTTTGCTGGATATCCTGCGCCGCAGCTGCAAAATTCGCCTGCAATGTTATTCATCACAATTAATTACGCGAAATGGAAATTTTGTAGCTGTTATTTCGTATAAATTTGTTGCTGCATAAATAAAAGGACAGTGTAACGTCCATATCTTACGGTAATGCGGTTCGTTTCAGATCGTGAGTTATGGTCCCTAGCTGGAAGAAAATTGTTTGATTGAGAAAATTGGGTTTTTGATATTCAAGTGCCATCGTATGCAAAGAGCAAACGGGTTACGTCTGATACACTTTGTAGAATACTCCGAGAAGACTAAATATCTTCAATATTCAATAGAGAACTAGAGCAATGAGGTTCTAGTGGACGCACACTGGAAAGAGACCTGAACCATGTACTTGATTTAAGAGAATCTAAAAGGGAAATTATGTTTTCAGCTAGACTAGTTGAAATAGAAGCCTTGCTATCAAATCCAAGGACAAAACAAATGAAAAAACTGCGTTTTTTAATAAACTTCCAGCGCGAACTATCAAAACTTGACTGGTCTCTTTAAGGTATGGTTGGCAATAACTAAAATAAAAAATTTCATTATATTGTTTCCAAAAACACCTATTCCAGGAAACCATGGTATCACTCCAGACATTATTAGTGAGAGTGCTAGGTTGCGGGATCTAAATAGACAACGCAAATTCTATCTAAGTCAAAACAGCATAAATAATTATAAAAAAAGGAATGGAAAAGTGTCCGCTATATTTCAAGACCCTCATGGAGTATTATTAATAATCATAAATGCCTTGTTAACTCGAGTGGTCAAGAGATATCTTGCAGGGCGATTGCTTGGTGCTCCAGTTGCTGCAACCTTGAATTTTTTTACCATCTCAATCTCTAATAATCTTTGTCTTGCCCCAGTTACTGCCAGTTTAAAAAGAAAAATTGACATATCTTGTAAATTATCCACTGGTACTT